TTATTCACTGGAGTTAGTCTGGCCAGTAGCTCCATAGTACAGGGGTTTAACTATTCATTTCCATACAGTAAAGATTAAGACCTTCAGATGGGAGATCAGGTCCTCACAAGGTGTCTACCTTCACAGGACAACAATGCAAACGTCCACATTCCAAGCAGAATTCAGAACCATGATCTGAGCATTTAGGCACTAAAGACCTTGTAACCACCAGGATGAACTTACTGGTATGTTATGCAAGTTTAAAACTTTCATGTAATGTAATTGAGTAGTACAAAGAACTTATACTAGCATTGGAGAGTTAATTTCATTAGGAAAAATAATGTTCACATGATTTTGTAAAATTTGATACTTAACCTGGTTTAAAATTACATAAATTATTCAGAAATTAGTTAATGAGACTTATACTGTTCAACTTAAAATTGAATGTTTCTCAACTTTTAAGAGGGAAACAAGATTCTAAAGAAGTGGTTTGTAAATATAATATTAAGTATTTGATTGGTGTTTGTAATTTTTATTTATATATCTATATAATAACCTGACCCTCATAATGTCAGATTTTTACCTTGAAATGACATTCTTTTAGCAAAGAAGTGAAAAAATTGTGTAGCATAGGGATTAAGCAAATTACAAAACTGTATTTCATGAAACAAAACAGCTTTCTCAATTGTTATGATGTGGCAGTTAACTTTTTTCAACCATCTGCAAGAGGCAGACATTAATTTTTCAAGGCATATATGTTTTAAGTATTCTTCATATGAACAGTGTCACTGTATGATATGTGAACTATTTTTCTAGAGTGCTACTTAGAGACAGACATCATACCATAGGTTGAGTTTTTCTTATCCCTGAACATAAATGTCAGTGTTCTGTTCTCCCAGCCATAGATTCACTGATGTTTCTATACTATCATAAGTTTTGGCCTCCCAAGTGTTTCTTTAGTGCTGGAAACAGATGGAACTAAATTTGGGAAGCCAATAGACTTAAAACCAGTATTGACATGGAAACCATAGAAAAATGGTGGTTGAATGAAAAACACGTCGACTCCAGTAGGCAGAGGATAGGAAAACTTGATCACATGGTATAAGTATCTGTCTCAATGGGAACTGCACAAAAAAATAATTTACACATTATACAATAACTCTGAAAGTAAAATGCTTCAGGATATATGTCTTATAAATTTATTTTCTGACTGCTCCTTGTATATTCATACATGCTAAATTATAATATAAGGAAACAAACCAAGAAACTCAAGAATACCAATCTGCTGTCTTGGATATTATTTTCAGACTTGCAACCATCTATTATGATCAACTGTAGCAAGATACCTTGCTAGTTTACATTTGATACCATAGAGAAAGCCTTTTCAACTACATCTGTATATCGATATTCTCGATGCATCTGTTTGTTTCTTCTTGGTCGTTTTGAGAGCACTTCATCCCAGTTGATATTCTTATGGAAGAACCCAGGTAGATTCTTTTCTGCAATTCTATAGTTATCTAGCTGTTTGCATGGTTGCCAGATACAGTCACAGGGAAGTTGAAACTGCAATGCAGACCCTTCAGTTTGCCATGGTAGTTTTCCGAGAGGACATTTACTCCAAGCCTCGAGATCTGAAAATAATAAATACTAGCTTAATACAACCAGTCTAAGTGTGCCAAGGACTGAATGCATTTCTTAAAACCTCTCCTACTTAAGCACAAAGCTCATTTTCACATTTGATCTGGCAACCAAGTCATGGTGTAGAGGAAATGCAACTATGAAATTTAAATAATAACAATAAATGACCATCCAAGGCCAATGACAATGCATTTGGAAAAAAATGTGTACTTCATATTGAAATAATTAGTTGGCATCAACCAACTACATGCAGCAGAGTCCTTGAGAAGCTGGAAGTAGCTCATCTAGTCAAATTCCCTACCTCTTATTAGTATTCACAGAAGGTTGTTATCTGACCCTAACCTAAGCCAACTCAGTCCAATTCACATCTTCACAATGTATTTCTGTTACATAAATGTTAATAATATGCTGCCATCTGTCACTGTCTAATTTACCAAATAAAAATTGTACAGTACCTTCATAACGAGTCCAGTGGGACTGTATTGCGGGAGATGAACAGGTTGCTTGGCTTTTCATTACGTTGTCTATCACATCCATTTCTTCAACACAATCACTCTGAATTACCCCATGTTTCCCCTTGATGTTACTGACTGTGTAGACTTGTGAATCCATTAAAATGCTTTCTTCATTTGACAAATGCTGTTCTTGGGTATAAATGTCAACCAAAGTTATTAGCTTCTCTTTAGTATCTTTAGGTAGTGGAGGGTCCAAAAGTTCCATCACACTAAAAAATTAAATTTTCATATTTCATCACAAAAAGCTACAAAAATTTACATGTTTCATTCAAATTAACATATTTTTATATAATTCTGGAATTAATATAGTAATGGTCAATAATCTATATTAATTTATTCTGATCTACTTACACTCCAATCGAAATATATATGGAAGTTGCAATATTGTAACGTCAACATGTGACAGTTTTAATGTTATCACTCAAATATGACCCTCTTACAATACAAAGAGCATCCCACACTGCATATACAGGATGAGTCAGAAGTATGTTTACAAACTTCATGTGCGTGTTCCAGGACCAAAAATAAGAAAAAATGTATTCTATTTTCTGCAGCATAACATTTTTCTTGCTGTATTATGCACTTTATGAATTGAAGCATACATATGTTGTATATATGCTTTCGTTTTTGGTAAGGTATAAAATTTCAGATGAATTCACATAAAAATCAAGAGTTAGCTGTTCCTTTATACCCTCTGAGAAGTTTATTGCATTGTAATCATCTGATGATAAAACTTAAAATAAATAAGCAAACGTGCATAAAAGCACTGATGATAAAGCACAAACCCACATTCTACAATTTGTTTGACAACAAATATGTTTTTTCTTTCTTTTAACATTTCTCAATGTATAGTTTCATCAAACTCAGTTCAGCAAGACAACATGTAACAGGAATGCAAACATTCTCCTCTACACCATGTTTTTATACAATTTGCTGAAATGAAAGCAGAATAACATGCAACATACCTTGGAAGGAAGATCTTTGTCCATGTGCTGGGTTTCACAATGGTTTCCTGTATAAGTTGTAATTTAGTCAATTTGTTTGGCAACTTCTGGATTTTTAATGGCATTACCTTCTTCAGATGTGGATTACATTTCTCAACTTTCTTTACCATTTCTTTGTGAATGTGTGAAGTAGTAAGTTTCATTTTCAGCTTTCTTTTTGATTTTGATTTCTGAGTTTTGTACACTTTTCGTGATTCTCTGCTACCAAACCCTTTCTGATCCCAGTTCTGAACCAATTCTACAGTTTTCTTAACTTTACTGAGACCCTGGGCCAATTCTTTAAGCCATATAGCAGCCATTTTACGACGATGACGACTCTCGTTCCCAGAATTAGATATGTCAATTAGCTTTTCCATGAGTAAAGGAATTACTTTGCTCTGATATAGGAAGTTTAACATGGCTTTCCATAAACTTCGGAAATTAACTGGAAGGCTATCATTTGTCAGTCCCAAAGCATCTGGAAGAAAGAACTGTTCATTACATTTACTGTCCTATTCTATATTAAACTATACTATACCAAATAAATGTTAAACTTCACAAATTTTCCTAACTTAAATTAACTGAAACGTTGCCTTGAATAAGGTGTTGAACTTTGAATTTTTGTTGATTACAGTATTTTAGATTATAAAAATGGTTTGGAGAAATGTATCAGCTATTTTTATCCAACTACCCTAAGAAATGACATTGTCACTATTATGTCCTAAATCAAGTGTGTTTAGTTCTGACATCTGTTGAGGTATTTAAGAAATAATTTATCAGAAGACATTAAAAGTTTACTAATGCCATCTTCTAAAATCTGTTTATATCTATAGAAGCTGTAACAACTTTATAATACAACCTACAACTTGAAAAACAAAGTTATATCATGAGTATCTTGCATTTAATTTCAGCAAAAGCTTATACATACAGTCAACAGATGTCTAACTGCCCTTTCAGGAAAAAGAATGTTGCATAAATGTAAGAGCCATAATGCTGTGATGTTTGAATTTGAAATAATGTTTTATGGATGCAGGTTGCTAGTATTATGATTAGCAGCAAAAGGGAAATATAACCACATACCAGTTTTCACCAAAACTCAAAGTCACAAAATCCCAGAATCTATAAAAACTTAGAACTCTAATTTGTCCTAAATAAGATGCATGGTGGTAGCATAGTTTGCTTTGCAACTGTTTAAGTATCCATTCATAATGACCACTGACTTACTACCATCACAGTTGAATACCGATAAAAAGTCTGGTGATGCTAAAAAGCCATCTCCTTCCAGCAAGACATTAACCAGGATCTCATGTCTGTCTCCAAACATGCCACTTGTTTCCATGCAGGCTTTCAGTTGATTGATTATGAGAATCTGTGCTTCAGACATCTTGAAATAAAATATGATACATTCATTACATTATTATAAATGTGTTATCAAAATATTTTCTCTGAATGTCTTCTGCTTTTGGCTAGCTTACAGACAGAAGGAAAACAAACTCATATACTACATAAATACATTGTTGACAAAGGAACTAAGACTGTTATCTACATAGTAATACTACTGGGAAATGTTTGTTTGGGTAATATAAGCTTACTGTTACCACTTTCACCCTTCCCATCCCCTTGCCTTTTACTTGTAAGGACTGTGGAATGCAGTTTCAACCTAGCCACTGTACTATCTCATTTTATGCTGAAGACAGAGACAGCCAGTTTAAAAAAATCTTACAGCTCTTTTTGATTCAGACAAGTTCCAAAGAAAGTACCACTGTCACAAACCTTTAGAATCATATTATAGACATGAAAACTAAAAAGTTCACGGACTCATATTTATTCCAAACATACCTCAGTGTTTTGTAATGTATGTCCTCGATGTCTCAATTTCCTTATCATTTTATCCATATTCCTTACACCGTATTTCTCTTTCTCATCACGGAGATGTTTCCTACAAGAACATCAAGAGACACTGTAATTTTCTTGTAAATCTTACATTTCTGCTCAGTAAGATTCTAATATCAATTCAAATATAATATTATAGTAACTGACTGCAATTTTAAATCTGGTATTTCAGCAAAAGTTGTAAGACCAGCTGATGAATACAACATGATTGCCTGCCATGTTTCAACAATCTCTTTCAATTTATGGACCACTTCAATGTAGACGTTTGACTCATCACCCGCAATCCAGTCTGTTGTCATCTCTGCCTCGTTCTTCCAATAATGTTCCTAGAAAAGAATCGTGAAGTCCAATGGGTCAGGCTGATATGGACACTTATAAAATAACAAATATGAATAATCAATAGGCAGCACCTTGCATGCCTGTGAAGTTGTCAAGTTGAGGACAACTACAAATTTCATCATTTTGGATTATAGCGAGACAAAGTGTTTCTTGGTGTATTTACCTAAGAAACATGAATGAAAGAGTAAAAAACATTTATATAATGAGAAATCTTAAAATTCTTACTTGTCAACTAATAATCTTAGGGTGATTTAATCAAGGATGAAATGGGTGAGACATGCAGGAATCACAGGAAGTAAGAAATAATTTATCAAAATTCTGAGCAAGAAACATCAATGGAAGTGATGACTTAGAAGACTTACACAGGATAATATTAAAATGGATATTAAAGAAAAAGTATAAGAATGCACTGTGTCAAGCTAGTCCAGGAAAGGGTACAGTGATGAGTTTTGTAAACACAGCAATGAACCTTCAGCTTGCATGAAAGTAGCAAATACTTGACTAGCTCAGTACATTGTGCTAAATGTAGATGGCTTCTCATGTGCAGACCTGTGTTTAATTCTAAGACAGTCCTAGTAACAGGTGTGATAATCAAATGGCACAGGGACAGGTTTCACTTCAAGTACTTTGGTCTCCCCTCCCCACCTGTCACTATTCCATCAAAAGCTTTACTCATTTATCATGAGAGAGAAAATGGCCCACCTCATGCTGCAATTCACTGAATTCAGTCTCACCCATTTTTTGGTTTATTCAATGGTATGTGTGGTGTGGTATGTGCACACTTAATGTACAATAAAAAAGAAACTACAACTATGAATTGCAATTTGAAAATAATGTTGAAGGACTACACCAGTAACTGATTTAGAGGTAAAATCCTAGCATTTGTCTGGAGGGACTAAGAAAAACCATGAAAATCCTTATTCAGAATAGCTGGTCTTTCAGCTTTAATTTAAACTGACTTCCTCCCAGTGCAATGTTAGTTCACTATTCTTACCCCTATGCCTCACTGGGTACATATCTACTGTAATAATTACATGTATCCAATCTAGACAAAAATGAGCTGCTTCTCTCAAGATGGTAAGTGATGGCAGATTGTGGTTGTGTGAAGTGTCATGACGTATATTAACGATCCAGTCAGGTATGTGTAGCCTAGCTGCCATATTATACAGACTCTGAATCTTATTTTTTGCCAGTGTTGCAAGATGGTTCAGGTATCTCAGAACAGCCATGGCATACATTAGTTGCAACTCATGTTCATGGTAGGGAGGCATCAAGCCATTTGCAATCTGAGGCCACACTTCCCTGTCTTTCAGGCATATCTGGATTAGGTCTAATGTGCACTGTGCTCCAGTTGGGATGCCCTGCGGACACCTGAAATATTTCATGGAGACAGATATAAAGTTAGCTGCTTTCAATGGCATAGATTATTATTCAATCAGATGAAAGGATATGTACAGTAAAATGGAAAAATGTACGGCACAATAATAGAGTACATATTGGAGAAATAAGGTGTAAAGACATGGATTAAAATCAACAGGATAATTAGTCTAATAGCATTGCAAACATGTTGGTAAATATTCCTACTCCACAAACACTGAGTAACTAGCAACTTTTCAACAGAGATTATAATTATGATATTTGGTAAATCAAAGTTTAGTGCCACTAGCTAATTTCTCATTCACATTAACAAAGCAACACACCTTGCTTTCCAAACAAGTAAACGTTCAAAACCTTTCACTTGTGCCACTGTGTCATCTGAATAAATCTGCTTGTAAGCTTCGTCCCATTCAGACCTGGAATAAAGTCCAAAAAAGTTTAAAATATGCCCTGGTGTGATTTGCCAAATTTAACTAGCCACTTTATTTGCAAATAAAAACATTTAGGCAAGATGGGGACGAACAGAAACAAATTCTAAGAAACCAACGGATGTCTCCAGACGTTTTAACATTACTCGCAAACAAACATAACCTACACAGAAACATGGTAAGAGCAACTTTCCTTACATATTAAACCAAGGTACAAATCTTGTATTTAATGTTGTATCTCTATGAAGTTCCATTCTTCGAAAGTATCAAAAATATTGAACTACACCATAAATAAAATACACGTCAGCCCTGCATTCCGATTCTAAACCCGCAATTTTACCGTGCACCCTTTCACAGGCGATACAAGTAAACCGAAATCAAGTAAAAGACAAATCACACTCTTTGAACATTTATATATTCTTTGATCGTACCAAACTTCACATCCACCATTACCGAAAGGGGGCGGAAATACACATTAATTATATCAATTAAATCTCCAATTTCTGTTTAATTTCATGATTCTGGGTTTTATTAATGTAGCAATTTTAGTGCCTACAATTCTTCCAAATTTGAATTACTAAGAACTGAAGTATAACATACAGCGGTATGAGACAAATTAGTGGTTCTGTTAGCCATAAGGATTGCTATTACCCCCACAAAGTTCAATACTGGTGCGAGGGCTTACGTCAAAGTGTATATTGGCGTAACCCCTTCTTACTGATCACCAATTATTGTATGGCTTGGTTGTGGATTAAAGTGTACAATTTAAAACTCTGAAATGTTCAACTCCTGCTGCCATCAGACGATCGATTGTATAAATAAATGCGAGAAATGGATTGCATATACCAAGTGAAGCAATGAAGTCAAATAAAATAAACAGAAACAATTTTTATTTACAATAACTGAATTTAGAATGTTAAATTGAGGTAACTTTTTTCCTACGTGAAAGACTATGAATAAACAAGTGAAGCTACTGTCTTTGAGTTTTGGTTATTTGTAATTCACATTCTGTCCACTGTGGCGCGCACAAAAGCGGGCGGCAGTTTAAAAGTACTTTAGTTTGATCATCTGTGACATAATAACACCAATTTACGAACTTTTTTGTCGACTGAAGAATCAAATATGTCTTACGTATCTATTAGGGTTACTCCAAAAGTAACCAGGTCACAGGAGTTCTTGGACAGCCCCGGGGAAGATCCATTCAAATGGTGGAAAGTGTACTGACTTAATTAACCTTGCCATACAAGTGTTTAAGTAGTCACTGCCTTGTGAGAAAGTTTTCAAGAGCAGATATATCATTGCACATTCTCGTGTGTGTGATGATACCTGCCGTAGAAGACTCGGAGTGATAATATGAATTACATTTCGCTCGATGCATGTGATGAATGTGTGACAAACATTACTTATTTCAGATAACGCTCATAGAGAAAGTCCTGCGCTGATCATTGCATGAACAATGACTTTATATATCTCATCTGTGGTGTCTTCCACGGAAACTTAGCTACTCCTGAACGCAAATCTCTAAATTAACTTACGTTACCTTTACTATTTGCATATAGTTCAGCAATGGCGTTTGCTGTGTGGAAGGCATGTATGAGAAGTCAAGTTAAAGAGTTAAGCATTATTGTCAGGTCTCCCAGTGTTTTACATAAGTGTATAACTAAGCGTTATATTGAATTTAAGTTTTTTCCAGAGAAGCCACTTGAAGAAGGTAATACTTTTAACAAGAATGATGTTTTATTTTATTTTGCTATTTTGAAACTAAACTTTCCATAGCTACATGTAGTGTTGTAGTTTTCTGCATGTGCCTGACTAGTTTATTTTGCAGGCAACTACTTTCTTAATAATAGAGTCAGTCTTCTCCATTTTCCAACCAAAACATGAAACAGTCTTTAATTATTGAATATTGCATCACTTGTTGATTTAGGAATTCATTATTGCTTCCTTCAAAGACAGTTTCTTTCTGAAATTTTCAGATGAAACCACTTCGATGAATCTTTGCCAGGCCATTAACAATGCTTTATATACAACTTTAATAAATGATTCCACAGCAAGTAAGTAAAGAAGACTTTGCAAATGTAAAATTTTGTATCATCAATGTTGGAAACAGTTTTACTGCTGAAATGATGAAAATTGTTAGATTCCTTCCATGTTACTCAAGCAGTGGACATTGGCCCCTGGCAGTCCAATGCCACATTTTTGAAAATATTGAGATACAGCCATCCAAGACCAACACAAGGTTATTTGGCACCTTAGTCAAATCTTCAGCCTTGCATAGTGTATCTGTGAAGTGAACTAATGCATTGTGGGTTGGCCTGACTTCATGGGAGTGTATGACTCTTCCGCCTGAGTCCTAGTAACTTACTATCTAACTCCAGCCCTTCTCGAGAAGCTAATAGTAGCTTAGCTCATCAAGAATTTCCCATCTTTTATGGAACCAAAAGTATCATTAACCGTGTTCAGAAGAGCCTGCCTCTGGTCCCTATCCCAAGCCAGCTGAATGAAGTCCATACTGTAACACTATTTTTCTAAGGATCATTTTAATATCCTATCTATGCCTCACTTACTCACTATGGTGCAGGAAATTCTTTTAAAAATTTGTTGTATACATGGCTTGTTAAAGAATAGCCCACTTTCTTTATGGAACTGGAAGGTTCATCCCCATGTTCACAGAAACATGCCACTGGACTCTGTCCAGAGCTAGCTGCATCCACTTCACTCCATTGATTCCTATCTCCCTAAGGTCCATCGTAACATTATCCTCCCACCTACACCTAGGTCTTTTCAGCAGTCTCCTCCCCTCAGGCCTCTCAAACAGTACCCTGTAAACACCCCTCCCCCATGTGTGTCCCACGCCCTGCCCACCTCACCCCCCTCGATTTAATCACCCTAACAATATCAGGTGAGGAATATAGGTGTGAAGTTCGTCATTATGCAGTTTTCTCTATGATCCATATCCCTCCCTTTTAGGTCCACATATCTTCCTCAACATTCTGTTCTCAAGGACCCTCAATCTATATTACTCCTTCAAAGTGAGAGACGAAGTTTCACAGTCATACAGCACAACTGGCAAAATTACACTTTCATTAGTTATGTATATCTTCTGTCACTTGTGTCTATACCTTGCCCGTGGTCTCCCCTGTTTTATTGTGTCATATTTTCATTTTCTATTCTCTCAAAAGTCTGGTCATGCATAACACATGTCCATTCGACAGTATCTTTGATTTTACCTATTTTTCTTGTGTTTTAATTTCTTGCTGTGTTATAGTTGTCTTTGGAGAAGATGTGGCATTTGGTGGAGTGTTTCGCTGCACCCTAGACCTGCAGAAGAGATTTGGCAAGGACAGAGTGTTCAATACACCGATATGTGAGCAAGGAATTGTGGGATTTGGGATTGGTTGTGCTGTTGCAGGGTCAACAGCAGTTGCAGAAATACAGTTTGCTGATTATATCTATCCAGCATTTGATCAGGTAATGTGTGGATTTGCTGACTGGCCAAGTATGTGCAAAAAGGATTTTTAACCTTAATTTTAAATTGTGTTTTAATTGAGTATTGTAAAAGAAACCTTTAGAGCAAGTTCATGATTTAAATTTCTGATGGACTTCAGGTTGTTTTTCTGGAGCCTTGTTTATTTAAGTAAATAAATAGTTCTGCCACTCCTTCCAGTTCCCCTACAGTCCTGAACAGACCTTAGCCTTTTATGTTTACTGGACCAGTCTGTGTTTGGATAAGGCTGTAGATACTGTTACTTCTGCAAGCATTCCTTTTCCCTGATACCATGTGCTTAGTTTGAGAGATTTTGGCCCTCTGCTTGTCTCCCTTCAGTGATGCCAGCATAAGACAGAACTTACCATTTCTTTAGATTTAGTGTAATTTGGTTTGGTTTACTTTTCTGCTGTTTTTGATCAATCTTAGTTTAGTGCAGAGGATCGAATTTAGTTGTTTTGAGATTAGGTAAGTACACAGTAAAGAATATTCAGGTTCCATAGAGGCCCAGGATCTTTTGACCACCTGAGGAGGAAATATGTATTGACTTTGCAGCTTTGCACTATGGAGTTTGTTGAGAAACTAAAGTAATTCTGTGGAGTTGAGTCCTTGAGAAGCTTATAGTCATTTAGACAGTTTAAAAATTTGTAGTTTGTGAGACCTGAAGCTTTAATAGTGTTTAAGAGCTTATCACTGGACCTTCTCCTGAGCTATGTGATCCAGTCCACACCAAACTCTCATACTATATTTGTTCAAGATGCATTTCATTATTATCCTCCCATTTGTGTTTAGGTTTCTCAAGTGTTTTTTTCCCCCCTTAGGTTTTCAGACTAAAATTCTATATGCATTTTCATCTTCCCTGTGAATGCAACTTATCCTACACATTTAATCATCCTAGTTTCCATGCAGTTGGTCAATCAAGACAATGCCAGTGTCATTCTTTATGTTTTTGAGTATTCTTGCTTGTTATATAGCAGAAGTTGAGGTTGCAATAAAATTCTTATGTGTGTGCCTTTCTATTTGTGTCTGTTCCCTGCCCCAAGAGTGTTTGAATCAGTGCATGAATTTTCATGAGACTTGCTATAAACATTATGCCATTAGAGGCCTCCACTCCTTCCTGTTTTAAGTTCACTATCACTGATAATACCAGCAAGGCAACTGTGCAAATTTCTAACCTGGATGTGTGTTTAGTGTTGTTTAATGTTTGGCTCATGTTTATTTAACAACACTTTTTCACTAGATGAGACTTTGTAGCTTCAATGTTTGGCATTTAAACTTTGTGTGGTGAATATGCAGCTTTTGGTAAGAACACTTTTTTGTCCAATGGAAATTAACATTAAAATCTGCATTAAGCTTTCAGATAATAATAAGTGATGTGTTGAAGCTAGGTTGTGAAATTTGGTACAGATATAAGTTGTAAACATATTTGACAGTTTTGTGTGATGCATTAAAAATTTTAATATTAAAAATTATATGATTCTTTGAGGTTATGTGTGAAAACTGTCAATGAAAATTTACACTAGTGGAAATTATACACAAAAGTAAGTCAAATTTGTATAGTTGTTAATTTACACCATTTGTGAAAGGTTCAGTATACAGTTGAGTGTATTTAGAAGTAAGTTGATTTATAAGTCTTCTCAGAAATTTTTGTTACTATTCTGTTTAATTCAGGAGGTAATGTTGTATTTAGGTTCGTATAATTAATAATCAAATTATAATTTGAAGAAAAGTGAAAAATTAAGATTGTTTTCATTTCAGCTTGTAAACGAAGCTGCTAAATATAGGTATCGAAGTGGCAACGAATTTGACTGTGGCAAGTTGACTGTTCGGGCACCATGGGGTGCTGTTGGTCATGGCTCTCTTTACCATTCCCAGAGCCCTGAAAGCTTTTTTACACATGCAGCAGGTCTGAAGGCAAGTACCCTCATTACGTCTCCTTTACTAAGTGACCAAGTAAGTAACTGATTATCTCTGGTACTCTGGTAGAAGAACCCACCTAATATAAAAGTTCAGGTAAAGTTTCCTATCCCAAAACATCATACCATAAAGGGATATAGGGACATGGAAGTGAAGTTCTAGACATTGACAGTAGGTGGATGAGTCATCAGTTGCACACTCTTACTGTCTTACTCTTGGTTGAACAGTTCTCATTACATATTGAAGAGGACATTGGATGGGTCACAGAACCAGTCTGGATGTGGTTGTGAAAAGAAAAATCAATATCCCTACTTCTGATTGAACCCTGGTTGCCCATTGTGTAATTAGTCACTTTGCAGATTGAACTGTCTTGGCTGGCTTTGTACATACAGGAAGACCTCATTATCCATGAAGCAGTGAACTTGGGTTTAGAGAGGACCTTCTCGAGAAATGCTACATTCTTGAAAGATTTTTCTCTTTTGTTTCCCTCAGTTCCTCCAATTAAATGTCTGAATAATAATTTAAAATAGACAACAGATTTCTTGGCTTTATTGAACCCAAAAGTTCATTACTGTGTTCACAAGAGCTTAACATGGATTCCTTCCTGAACCAGATGAATCCATTCCATGCGTCACATCCTGTCTCTTAAATATATCTAGTGTAGTCTCTTCCCATCATGTTTTCTGACAAAAATTCTGTAATTATTTCTCATCTGCCAATTTCTTCCTCATCATGAAAAGTTTACATTTAACTCAAGGTCTTTAAATAAACCAAGAATCCAAAACTCTGTGATAATTTGGAAGTTTACTGCACCAAAAAGTGAGGAGTCACTGTTTCCCTTATTTTTGTAAGCCTGTTATTTTTATTTGAGCAGATTGTTATTCCAAGGAGTCCATTTAAGGCAAAGGGTCTGTTGTTGGCTTGCATTCAAGACAAGGATCCCTGCATCTTTTTTGAGCCCAAAGTGCTATATCGTGCTGCTGTGGAGGATGTTCCTGTCAGGGAGTATACACTACCATTGGGGAAAGCAGATATCTTAGTTACAGGCAAGGAAAGAGTAGTTACAGTATGGTGTGACACTTGGTCCTACTCTGAAGGAAAAGATGAACTGAGGGTTTTGTCTAAATTACAGGATAACTTGCATTCTAGGAATATAAATAAGAGGTTTTACTGTAAAAAGTACTTGATTAGGCCCTATTATGTCAGCAGCAAATTATGAATCTTCACAGCACCAAAACCCAGAACATCATCATTATCATCCTCACTACCACAGTCCAGTAATAAGAAGCGGGTTTTCTGAGGACTGGAACCCTATTTGTATCAAGTAATATAAGTAATTATCTATTATATAATAACTAATGGTTTTGTATGATATTAAAATTAAAGGGATATAATCTCAAACATTTATAATAACATTTGTAACATAGCTGAGCCTCTTCATTTCTGACCAATCGTATAACTCTGTGTGCTTTTCATCACTACTTCAATGGTTGTGCCATTAAATGTCACAAAATTAAGAGACGGGAGTGGAAAGAATATTGTTTGGTACAAAATATTTTTTCCAACTGTTGTAAATTGCTTTGGCATATATTAAGCCACAGACTTACAGCCATACAGGGACCAAAAAATTAGAGAAACTGGCTTACTGCATCAAGGATGGCATTATCTCTTGCATTTACTTCAGACTGAAATGTGTTTTCATTCTGTAGGTGATGCTGTGACTCTTATTGCCTGGGGAACCCAAGTGCACATCTTGATTGAGGTTGCAGATATGGTTAAGGATCAGCTGAAGGTGCAGTGTGAAGTAATTGATCTTGTTACAGTCAATCCATGGGATATGGAGACAGTCTGTAATGTGAGTTGAGATTATACAGCCTTGTACTATTACTGAAGGAAAATCATTGGCCCACAATACAGAATTAAGCCATTCATGTGATATTTTATCCTGTTTATATAAATATGTACATGTTTAGCCTATTTTTCCTTTCTTAGGGAAAAGAAGGAGACTTATGAGATATATGTCCCTCCCCCTTTGAGCATTTGATTTATTTTAAATATGAGTGTCAGAGGCTGAGATCAAATCTGAAACCATTTGATTACTAGTTATTTTGTATGTTGATCACTGTACAGCTGTCACTAATATTGAAGTTAAAGTAAATTTAATAACAGCAAATGATCTGAAAATGGGAGTACACCAAGCTCATGAAGCATTATTTTATCAGATATATAAAGATGTTACAGTGTGCACACACTGTTTGTCACATTCGTATTCAGATACAGAAGTTAACTGAGTGACTCGCTTTCAGACAATGGATAATGCCCAACATAAGTAAAGTAAATCTGTTGCTCTTTCTTTCATAGGTTACTTGTAATAGTAAAAGTAGGCAAGAAAATTATACAGTTAATTCCAAATCAAAACTGAGTTAACTCATTTACATATTTTACAGTCAGTGAAGAAAACTGGGCGTGCAGTTGTGGCCCATGAGGCTCCACTAACAGGTGGCTTTGCATCAGAAATAGCAGCTGTAATTCAGGTGAGTTAGAGCCCGAAATATATTTTTACTAGAAACAGGCACAGTCCTGAGACTCGGGCATATTTGATTCGTTTCTGAAATGCTTTTATTTCAGTATTGGTTTAATATTTTTGTCCTTTTGTTGGTATTCTCTGAAAACATTTGTTTACTTCCTGCTGCTGTTTGAAGTTTAGGTTATAATGATGTTTCTATGAATGCATTGCAAGGTGAAACAAGAACTGTATTTTTTATTTGTGTTAATTTTACTATGTAGAGCAGACATGTCAAACTTGTGGTCCTCTTCAGTGTTTTATGTGGCCCAACTCAGTTCTCGACAATGTGTGGCCTCAAATGACTGAGTTGTAATAAGCGCTGAGATTTGAATGCATATAAAATGGCTGCTTATGTGCTGCTGTTTTTTATTTGAAATAAATGAAGGTAGAATTGTGTTTGAATTCAATTTGTTGTTTCTTGTGGTAAAATAGATGAATGGAAAATACACATCCAGAAGTAACCTCTGTTTATGTGACCCTTAGTACATATTATTCCCAGTTTGACATGCCTGGTATAAGGGATAGTACAGAAGCAAGAGAATTCTGAATGACAAAATTTTTCCTGTAATTTATGAGCAATGCCATACCATGGTGATATTGCTTATAACTGAATATATGTAAATTAAGATTTGTTTCTAGGAGGAATGTTTTTTGCATTTGGAAGCACCTGTGCAGAGAGTCACTGGATTTGATACTCCTTTTCCGCATGTTTTTGAACCATTCTACTTACCAGACAAATGGCGATGTTTTGATGCCATCAAGAAAACGCTTGCTTACTGAAAGTACAAGTTTCTGCAGGTTTGACTGTGAAGAATTTATTTTTCTATATATTTTTTTACTTAATGTTTGTGTATTGCAAGCTTTACCAGCCCAGGAACTATTACAGTTGTTACCTTAGAAGTGACAGCTGAAATTGTTTTGAAAGTGTAACTGCCAATTTTTTATGAATGGAGTGCTTTGAAGTATATTTCTTTGGAATAAAGCTACTGTTTTGTGTTCTTAGATAAATTTAAGCAGGAGGTAAAATGTGATATTCTGGGGTCTGCAGATGGATTACTTTTGTTTGGAATGGGGAAGAATTGATGGAGCAGTGGAATTAATCTGTTATTGTACGTATGGGTAACCATTAGTCTCATTCAGAATGGTTTGAAAAAAAGGAGGTGCATTATTACCATTGTTTTTTTAGCTTTGCCTTAGAATATGCCATCAGGAAGATAAAAAAACAGAAACAAGGAGGGATTAGAATTGAACGGGGCATACCAGCTTCTGGTCTGTTTTGATGATGTTAATTTGTTCGATGAAATCATATATGTCATTAAAAAAGAAGCTGTATTAGTTACTGGTAAGGAATAGTTGGTCTAGAGCAGGGGTTCTCATCCTTTTTCACTGGCATACCACTAATTCTAATTTAACACATTAAATGTACCAGTAACCAAATGCATTCAGGGAGAACTTATTTATGTTAATATTATCTTTTGATTTTCTTACTTAGTTTGCGTACCACTCACCATTGGCTCACGTACCAACAGTGGTACGCATACCATAGGTTGAGAAATGCTAGTCTAGAGTATGCACAGAGAAAATGAAGTAGCTGTTTGTGTATATGTTCATTTCTCAAAATATAGGACAAAATTATTATTTAAAAGCGGCTTATAAATCCCTTAAAAAATGTGGTAAATATTTAGGATCGACAGTAACAAATCAGAATTTTGTTCATGAAAGCATTAAGAGAGACTGAATGTGTTGAAGCCTTGCTACCACACAGTTCAGAATCTTTTGTCTTACTTTCTGCTATTTAAAAATGTAAAGACAAAACTTTAATTTGACCTTTTGTTTTCTATGGGTGTGAAACTTGGTCTCTCACTTTCAGAGAGGAATACAGATTGAGAGTGTTGTTTGAGCACAGGGTGTTTATCAGAATATTTTGACCAAGCAGAAAGAAGTAACAGGAGGCTGGAGAAAAGTGCGTAATGAGAAATGTCGTAATTTATATATTATTCACCAGAACACTATTGACAGTTGTTATGGGTGTGGTTGTTATAATTCTTATGTACACACAGTACCTGATTTACATCAGGGATATATTATTCAGTGGTGAATGCTTGGTTCTGGCTAGTAGTGCACCACCAAATCACAAAAATTAGAGTATCAGAGAAGTGTTTTACTATGCAGCATGACAGTGGCATGTTATTAAAATACCTTAACATTGTAGTGTAATTGTTGAGGGGTTTAATAACATTGCATTTCAACATTACCAAACTTCTAGACCAGGATTTGCCACTGATACTTGTATAAATGGTTATGTATGTGACGATTTTGTTAAAAGAGAGATTCTAGTTTGTACTTGTTGAAAGTGATATATGGACAGAAAAAATGCTGAACAAAATTGATTCCCCTGTGGATTAATGTTGTAGTGAAAGAATGCACATTTGACCATCTGTACATTATTTGGTTGTGATTATATTTATGTTTTGAATTTTTAAAGTTTTTAAAATGGAATATACTTATGATGGCTCATTTAGCATCCATGAAAACTACAAGATTTAGAAATTAATATTTGAAAATAATTAGCTGTTTAGGCACTATCATTATTTCCCCACTGATACTACTCATTTGCAAAACCTGAAGTTCATTTTTTGATAGAACTGAGCTATTGATACCATTACAATTACCAGGGGTAAATGCATTGTTTCCCACAAGAACCACTTCAATCAAAATCTTTATTGTGTATTTGCAGCCTTATCTTTTGTTTGTTTCCCTTAAAAATTACAAGAGTACTGGACTTGTTATTATTTTGGTTTATGTTTTGACCATTAAGGTGCCACTGTATCCCACAGCAACTTACAGGCCAGCCTAACAGTGAAAAAAGCAACATAACCTCCAGTCAATGGTATTATGTAGGTACTTACAAAATTTCATGAGTCCAAAAAAAACTTCAGCTTTCAACTCTAGATGCAATAGGGATAATGGTTTCACTCTGAGCCACTCCTGGTTTTCTGTGACAAAACTGCTGTCCACCCAGAAGCCCAAGCCAGCAAGAGCGAGCACTTGACCTCAACTGCTGGTTCCTGTTGGTCAGCGCAAAACAAAGCGACAGACGGGCCACCAGCAACATCATGCTACTACCTCCCGTCCACCGCCAGTTCCCATCGGCGATTGTGCTACAGAGGACCAGTTTTGTCATGCAGCTGCCCTGAGGATGAGAGCAGATATGGCTCTCAAAATGTTGGCAGGAGATATGGTTTATTCACCATTCAGCCACGTGATGTGGCTTGTAGCCCGAGTGTCTTCCATCAAGTTTAATGATGATGTTTAATGTCCAAATGATGTTAATGATATGTGAACATGATCATGAATGATGGGTATTTAAATGTTATACAAGGTGTCATACAAGGTATCCTGACTTGGATTTTTTATTGTTTTCCCAAGTCCCAGGTAAATTTCAGGATAGCTTATCCTTCCAAGTCCATACCAACCCATTGTTTGTAGTTATTTTGCTAGCTTTTTGAAATGGTGTGTATTATCTGTAATGTGCATTACTTAAGAAAAGAATTTTGCATGTATCATGCATGATGACAAAAATAAAAACTGCATGGTTTGAAATTTTGAACATTTTTAAATTCCAGTTGAATTTTCTCCCAGTCCTGTTCGCAGGTTATAGGCCTATGTATAGTGAACAAAGTCAAAAGGTAAAGAACTGTGAAAGAAAAATATTTAAATAAAATGAGAAAGAAATTCCATAGGTCCGTGTGTTGGTATGCCTTCCACATAATGGGTATTGTTTTCGTTTGACATCAGGGAACCAGTGCTTAACAAGAATAAAACATTTATCTTGAAAATAAAATGTAATAATTTTGAAAATTATTATGTTTTTACACCAACCGTCTGGTGAGAAGTATGAACCCAGAGTGTTTGAATTTCCCGCTGGCGTATGAATACAAGACCGACATCTGAAGTAGAAACTGGTCGTTTTTTAACAATGGCGTAAATACGTTACCTTGTTCAACCGGGTTGCTTGGAAAAACAATTGCCACCAACAAATATAGTACGATTGGTGTTGCTAAGAAACAGCTGGTAAACAAAATATGAACAGAAGTTTGTGAAGAAGAATGGCGTTTTGGAGATCCCAGGTTCAAAGGTTTAAACAAGACATTAGTAAGTGTATTAATGCATATATGTTTATTAATAATAAAATACTTATTTATTTCATTCTACTGCTACATCATTTTTTTCTGTGGAGATGTCAATAAGGAACTTTAAACTACACGTAAGCCTATTCTCACACCGAAGTTTGTAATGCATACAGCTTCAGGAAACTGTATACAACTTAAGGATTTTTAGACGGGGCTGGGGGATGTTCTGTGACGTAATAACAAACAAAACCGTCTCGAAAACAGAATCTAGTAAATTGTTTATTAACAAATAATTGACATAGTCTCTTCATTTTGTTGAACTGGGTCGTTTCGTAAAACAGACATGTGTGATCTGAAGCTTTCATAGCGACAGAGTATAATGAATTCTTCAGCCGTGTCAGGTGGTTGCAAGGCGAAAACACCAGTGTTTCGAGAACTTGACGACGAAGATGGTTCTCTAAACGTTGGTGGTTTGTAGGCGCGTCGACTACTCTGGCTGTTAGCGTCTGTCGAAATGTTGGTGTTTTCACCTTTCAGCCACCTCACATTGCTGGTAGCCCCCAAAGAAATCATTAAAACATAGACAATTAACACCAATATGTATACCACGATTGAGTTAGGGGCGTGGGAGGTTCTGTTATTTAACAGTTAGGAACATCCGTTTATGGCAATAAGATTTTATAACAACTTTGGTAAACAGTCAATGAACAGAAGTTTGTGAGGTAGGATGGCGTTCTGGAAGTCCAGGGTTCCTAGGTTTCAGCAAGATATTAGAAAGTTTTTTCTTACACAAGTGTTTATGCCTAATGAAATAATGCATTTCATTCTACTGCTAAATCTGCCATAATTTCGCTAAGATTCCAATAAGGAACTTAAAACTTTACGTAAGTCCATTCTGATAACCAGACTTTACAATACAGGCAGCTTCTGGAAACGAAATAACAGCTTCAGTATTTTTTAGCTGCATTTTAGTTTCATTTTGTCATATTCACACACCATAGAACGAGATATGAAGAAAACTAAAAATTTTCCAGTTCTTTGTATAGAATAGAATAGAATTTATTTACATTCAATAGATCCTTCATAGGCCTAAGCCAAGGATGTAGAGCAGGTCATAGTATAGTACAGTACTTGTTTCTGGTACAAATATAAATACATAGTTATAACAGCAACAAATTTTATACATTTTATGTTGAAACTTTGTAATATATGTTACTCCCCCACAGTAAGATAAGTTTAATATCCACACATAAGTACATGTGAAAAATCTGTTTGAGGTATTAGCAATTGAGGCATTAAGCAAGTAAGTTTAAAAAGTGGTAAAATGACTGACTGGTGAATTGGAAAGATTGTAAGAAGGAAGAGGGTCTGGCCTATTTTACATCACTTTTAAGAGATGCTTTCTAATTCTTGCTTCCCACTAATTGGTACTGTGGCAGTGTTGGGCATGATCCTTTGTCATTTTCATCTACCTCCCATCCTCAAAACCTGTCTCACTAAAACCAGATATCTCAATTAGAATTTTATATGCTCTTTTGTGTCCCCACTCAAGGTACATGGTGAGACCATTATTATACCTTTGATTCAGCAGCTTTGCTTCTTATATAATATCCTAAGTTATTTGCTTACTTGATGCTTCTTAGGTACAGATATTTTCGGACACTTGTGATCAGTGTTCCATCCTCAAAGAGATAAGTTTTCACTTCTATACAAAGCCTGTATTACTCATTTTCAAATATGTTTCCTGCTTTATATGAGTGCAATTTGAAATTACAAACTGTAATATCTGTAATGCATTCTGTGGTTCTTCTATAGGCTGTGCTCCCCCTCCAACGAAGTATATGGCAAAGAGCGATGTTAGAGTGAAGGGAAACGTTTCATATGACAAGCAGGTGACTGCACGGTTTCATACAGGGCGATGCTGCAGCAAAAACGTAGTTGGAGAAATGCCCAAGGTAATTTTTTTGTATAATTAGCTCCAAAGAGTAGGGTCCTTCCTGGAAAGGTGATGGGCGCTCTGCTGATCAAGAATCCAAAGATTCATTACCATGTTCACTTGATCATGCCATCAGACCTTGTCCTTAGCCAGATAAATTCTGTCCACATCCTCACACACTGTTTCTTCAAGACCCATTTAAGTATTATCATACCATTTATGTCTAGGTCTCCCAAGTGGTCATGTCCCCCCAAGTTTTCCCCATGCACACTACGTACATGCTGCCATCTTACTTCCCTTGATTCATTCACATTTCCTGAATCCCGTTGGGAATGTTGTGCTGTCTTTGCACAGTGCGTACGAGATGACATTCAGGGCAAACATGCCTGTCATTCTATTCGCATATTTAAACTCAAGAACTGCTGGACAGATTTTTATGGAATTTGGTGTGGAAGTTATGCCATTGTAGACTACCGTGTATGTATGTATATATATATATATCCTTTTCAGTTCACTACAGTTGATAACAACATAACATAATGGGAGTGACACTAGCTACTTGTGTTAAAGTAATTTTTGTAGAAGTCACACAGTGAACGCTCAGCAGTCTGTGGGATATTTCAACACCTACCACAACATGCAGTATATCTAGTGCTGGACAGTGTAGGCCATAGCTAGAACCGTGAAGTCTAAACTGATAAACCACATTGCATTGACCAAAAATGCTGTCTTAATTACTGTCTGTATACATTCTTGAATGTGTAAAGAAATACAAAACATAGAACTTGCTTGAAAAAAATTCTAGTCCCCTAGGATATCAGGTAACCGGGTTTTCCTATATTCTGTAATTTTATTTATTTCAGGCAAAGGAAGTGTCTAGCGCGTGTAGAGGTAGCCACGGGATTCAGAGAGAAATGAAAACACGTGGTACTATATCTTCTGTGTGCAGCAAGGCGCCACAAAGAATAGAGCATGTAGTGGAGGAAGAATTATGTGAAAAACAGGTGAGAATCAGTGCCAATATTCCATGTTATGAAATTACAGCACTGTGGGTAATCAGATTGTGCATACTCACTACATGTTTCATTTGTGGAAGTACTGAAATGATTTTGATTATATATGGGATTTGAGGGTAATGCACTGAACGTTGTTGGGAAAAAAATTTTATGTGCTGTATTGTCTGATCCCTATTTTACATTGATCTTAAATCAGTCTATATAATATAATATAAAATGGCTAACCAAACTCATACCTGGTATATGGAATGTCTATGTGTATATGTATCAATCTTAATGAAATCTACAGCTTTTATTCAAAATATTTCTTATTTAACGTGAAGAAGAATTTGTCCATGCAACAGCATGTTAGAATCTACAGTAAATGAACTACAACCACCGGAGGTTTGTAATATAGCAAAGAATGCAAATTGAAAACTGTGCTAAAATGAAGGACCATTTTTCTTTTCACTTCAGGAGAACATTATGGAAGATTACTCAGGCATTGATGATCTGCTTGATAGAGTAACGGACTTAACCAGTGAATATGTGGTCCCAATGGAAGAGGACATCACAATTATGGGTAAGCTAAAGCATTCAAGACATTAGAAACCACATAAGTATTAATCTAAATATTCTATAATCTCTGTGTAGCAGTTTCTGGAAAATACATATTACATTCAGTGATATAACCTCAAGCTATAGACACATTAGGGTTAAGTAATTTTCATATTTCGTTAGCTTATTCTGCTGCCATCCTCAGTAAGTTTTTAGAGAGTCAGTCAGTCAGTCATGTTTGTGCCTATTTGGAGGAGTCATTCCTTTGATAGCTCAGAAAATCCGGAAAGAAAAAATTTGCATGTGATTGATGTGTACAGTCATCTCTGCTGTTATGCGATAGTTGCATTCATGTAAGACGCCGACCTATAGAAAATCGCGTAGTAAAAATAACCCCGGGAACTCCGCAGAGATTAAATTAGTCCTTTGAAAGTTTAAAGTGCCGGGAATGAAATTGCGTAAGAACAAACTCGCATATGTAAAAGTTTGCATTTCACAAACAGCTTTTACCGATTCATCGATCTCATTGGCGCAAATTCGCGTTAACGAAACATACTTAATTGCAGAGATGACTGTATTTATAATTTTTATTCAAAATCAGCGATGTAATAATTACGATTTATTATAAGAATCAGTACTAGATACATTGTAAAAAAAATTTTTTTTCCACTTTTTGATTTGCTAGTTTCAAAATCAGCGAAAATCGAGGGCTACCTGTATATCTCAGTGAATTAAGCGTCCATGACGTTGATGTGTGGCATCAGGCTTGTGCTACTTTACTGTGTAACTTCTGAACCAGTGTGGTACATTTCTGGGCAAGGTCTTTAAATATTTATATCTGGGCTAAACAGAATCCACATGTCTTTGAAGAAATAGCACAGCATCCACCTCATATTGTGATGTGGGCTATAGTTACCACCAGTGAACTGATTTTGGACCATATTTCTTAGGTGTGACTAGTGAAAGGTATCTAGATCCAAATGGACATTGGTGAATTACAGAATTTGATGATATTGGTCTTACAGTGTAATTTTGCAACAAGACTGGGCCCATTATGCTGCTGATGTTCATACTTTTATCAATACTCCCTTTTCACTGTCAGCTGGACAAAATGGACCTCTCATCTCACTTCCGAGATGTCCTGACCTGACCACCCATGTTTAATAATTGGTTTTGGTCTTTGGAGAATCATTGTATCTTCAACCCTATTACATCAGTAGGCTTCCCAGTATACTCGGCGATGAATGAAAATATGTGTTGATAATGAGGATAAGGATACCGATCAATTGCACGGATATGGCGAGGGGTATGACATCTCTTAATTCCATAACATCTGCATGGACATTATTGTCATGTTGATATGTAATTAAAGTGTTTCCATACTAAACCACTACGCTTGTTATAGCTTTTGCATCAAATGGTCATGAATTTTGGGCACCCTACTTATGTTTATTTTATTTATGTTTATGTCCAGAATCAGAAAATAATGAACAAGAAGCGAGGCTCTGGAATGAACTGTGGGCTACTCAGGCGCTACAGAATGCAACTAATGACCGCATAAATGAGGTGAAGGAAAGATCTGATTCCTTGTGCACATTCATCAGAATACTTGTAAGTAATAAGTGCAATTCTAGTGATCTGTATAATTTTATATGTCTGTAGCAGAATTCCTTGTAATTGCAGCTTTTCTCACTTAAATGTAAGAGGTAAAACAGATGTGAATTTGTTGTCTCTGTGGCTTAGCACCACACCAAAAAAACATACATGGGGAGTGGAGGTAAATTTCCACATATTCGTAAAGTGAGCACTACCTGCGGGTGACCAGTCCCTTCCACCCAATGATCACATACCACAGGAAAAGAGCTCCTGATATCTGCTGAACAGGGTGTTGGGTGATGAGATACTTAAACAATTTATTGTCTAGTTCCTCCTCATGTATCATAATAATTCCTGTGAATATTGCCATATGCTTGATACTGAACTTCTGTTGTCTTTCAATGAGCTTCATATTCAGGAAGTCCTGGATTCCATTCTTGGCCAAGAGACCAGCTACATCATAGTTTGTTTATTTGATATTTTCTCCCTATTTTTCTGAATCCCCTCAGGGAAGTGGTGGGATTCAGCCTTAAAACAAGTCATTAATGATTCTTTCCACTAACTAACTAGATGGCTTAGGGAACCCGAAGGTTCATCACCGAATTAACCAAAGCCCTCCAACAGTCCCACCAAAATCCAGTCTCCTTCAACTCCTATCTCCCATAGATCCCTTTTGATATTATCCTCCCATCTATGTCTAGGTCTCCCCAGCAGTATTTTCCCTTCGGGCTTCCCAACCAATACCCAGTGCACACCTCTTGACCCATCCATGTGTGCCACATGTCCCACACATCTCATTTTTCTTGACTTAATCACCCTGACAATTTTGGGGGAGGAGTACAAATTTTTAAGCTCATACTCTTCTGTCATAGGCCCAAATATCCTCCTGAACACCCTGTTCTCAAACACCTGCAATCTGTGTTCCTCCCTGATAATGAGAGACCATGTTTCACACCCATAAAAACAACAGGCAAAATTATTGTTTTGTGTATTTTAATCTTTGGGTTCCTAGAAATTAGGTGGGAAGACAAAATATTTTGAACTGAAAAGTAGCAAGTACTTCCAGAATTTAGTCTCCTAATTTCCTCATGAATATCATTTTGATTTGTTATTGTTGTTCCCAAATATTTGTAATTTGTCACACTTTCAAAGGATTTATTAGCCATCCTATTATGATTTTGCCTGCTTGTCTGCTGCCAGGACACTAACATGAACTTAGTTTTTTCTGAATTTATTTCTACTCCAACCTTTCTATTAACGCCTAGTAAAACCTATGTGTTCCTCTTTATTGTATTTATAACTGATTCTTTCGACATCATTGGAATTTTAAATAACCATTTACAGCCTTACTTCCATTGAATAGTATCATCTGTCATTTTATTGAGCTTCAGAACACTTTTCTTCTTCGCTGTTTGTGTGCCTCACAGTTAACTTCCTCATATGTTTCCTCACCAATACTGAATATGCATTTTGTGGTCTTTCACCATAAGCAGCAGCACCCTTAACTATCTCAATTTGACTTCTATAAAACTGGGTAACCTACATCATAAGGTGTGAAGTTCTTTATTTTTACATTTGTATCCCTGTATTTTACTGAACACTTTGTTCCCAACACTTGTAACATGTCTTCTTCCCACAAAATAAGAGGGCACCTTAATGCATGTAATATTACAATCTTGTAATGGGGCATGCTGAATGAATGAATAAATAAATAAATAATAAGATATCAGCAATGTGTAAATATTTACCAACAACAATGGTTATGTTACCTAAGAAACTAATTATTACGTTATCTGTTTACTCGGAATTGTTGTGTTACATTACTGCCGTCAACAATCTGCTTTCATTATTGTGGAAAGAGCTGAGCTGTGAATCGCTTGTAGAAGAAGTGCGTCATAGACTAAATAATTTTGTGCTGGTAAAAACGTTTTAGAATATCAGAAGTACTTATCTTATATAAGAATTATTAAGAAATCTGTGATATTGCCCTCTACTCTCTCCATTTTATTTTTGATTGTATTGATCATTGCCGGTGGATATTGTGGTCTCTTACCATTGAGCAAAGTTTGAGGTAAGGGATTCCTATTTATTTTTATTGTTCATCACATTTAATGTTTTCATGTGCATTTGTGAACTCGTGTAAGAGAATTAGGTTTGTCTTCTTTTGATGTAAATACGTCTATACGGAAGGGCCATTCGGCAAAAACAGCGTTAGTTACGAAGATGTGTAAGATCCAGCGCTGAGTCACATTTAAATGTTCATTCCACAGGAATGGTAAGAGTAGGGGTAATGTAACCTATATGTAGAATGATCAGTAAATACAGTCCTTTAAGAATCTGTAATGTAATGTAAAGAGAGAGAGAGGGGGGGGGGACCTTTTACACTCAAACAAAACAGCAAAGAAAATTAGCAGTAGGTCTGTACATTATTAAAATAAGATAAATCTGTTTGTATAAAAGTTTAGCAATACAGCCTAACCAATATGTGTCTTTTTTTGTGTGTATGTATAGTGGGACGAAGTGCTTGACCTGGAGGCATTGCTAAAAGACACCAAGAGGAAAAATAGTTGGTTGCGACATATAATAAGACAGCAGCAGTTGATGATGGAACAAGCAGATTGTGTGATGTGTCAGCAACGCAAACTCTCGAAAGGACATGAAGAGGCAAAGCCAGACAAACAGGCTGACCAGGTATTAAAAAAAAAAGACCTGGCAGTATGTAGTATTTTGATATATTCGGTATATTAACAGGTTCTTAAAAATTTAATGATCTTGTTTAAACTGCAAATGATGTTAAATGAGATGTGAAGACAATCATGGATGGTGGGTAAAACATTTGGAACAAGGCATCACAGCCTATTTCAAGGTTTATCCTGGCATTTGTCTGAGAGACTGTAGAAAACCACAAAAATTCGTCTTTAAGCTTTGTTTTATTCTGTGAAGTGCACTTATAGTTCTGAATAATCTCAGCAGTTAAACACTCTTTATTTGAATTTTTTGTACATTCAATGCAGAAGGTAATATTTAATGCATTAAGTGATGCAAAATGCAACATATGCAAAACATTTATATATTTGCTGTTTATTTTCAAGGTGAACAAGGAGGTTTCAGTGCAAGCAGATAAAATGAAGGAATTGTACTCAGCAATAGATAGAATGGACTTTCAAGTGATGAATTTAAACAAAGAAATTGAGCAAATGCAACAGCAGAAAATTAAATTTCAAGCACGGTCTGCGTATCGTGAAGCACATATTGCACAGTTGGTGCGTGACCTTCGGGAGAAATAAGGTTGACTGGCTATCACACCAACATGTAGAATCAGTTGTGAAGATAAATGAAATTGATTGATGGTGGTACTGACAAACTTTTGTGTTGATTGTAAGACGCCTGCAGCATTACCAGTCTGAAAGACTAGGAAGTTAACAATTTAGACTTTGAAGATAACTGTCTTCAATGATGGTGCCCCATGTTGATGTGTGACACTTCAAAAGCTTACTGTTCCATCATCACAGCAGTCAGCCAGACCTATTTGAGAATAGGGCGAGGACAGAGAGCAGGAGGGCAGTTGGGAGAAGGGGAAAAGTGTGGTAGAAATATACAATACAGAACTCTTCCTTGCTCTTTGAGTTGGTCTCAGTAGAATAGCCAGCCTACACAGTGTAGACCTGATCACATTTGTTGGTTACACTGTCTGTGGAGGTATATGGACTTTATGTGCCTAAATATGGCTGTCTTCTGGGTTGTTGCGCCATGTAGTCTGGTAGAAGTTTACCTACATTTCAGAGGTGCTTGCTGCCACCATCATCAGGGCGTTATGATGGACAGAGACAGAGAGTCCTCGCCCTATTCCCAAATTGGTCTGGCTGACTGCTGTGATGATGGAACAGTAAGCTTTTGAAGTGTCACACATCAACATGGGGCACCATCATTGAAGACAGTTATCTTCAAACCCACCACTGTGAAAATCTCAAATCCTATATTGATATGCCTAGACAGCGGGCTGCTGATGTAGTTGAATGTGGTGCTGACAACAGGGAAGGAAAATGATGGAGACGGGTTTCCCTGGTGGATTGAGAACCTGTTGAATCTGATGCTGGCTGCAGCCATTCTGCCTAAATGAAAGTGGTCCTGAAAAAATCCAGCTGATTGTGTAGGTTTTTGTGTGGTATCACAGATTCGACTGTAAACTCCAACTCACTCACTTCCAAATTCCACCACCACCACCACCACCCTTCCAGCATATAGGCTGTACTTTCCACATTGGTGCACAGGGCCAGATCCTTTTGTGACTGGGGAAATGTATATGAGGAGCTGAAGTTTCTCAGGGACACTTCCAAGCCGAATGAATACAGTGACTCAGAGGTCCTGTACCTCTCCGCCCAGGCACCTACATGGTGTATAGTGGGACAGCTTTGCTTACTTTTTTTACTGGAAATCAACTCTGTTATGACTTGTGGTTTTTGTAAGAGACTGATTAAGTTTTGAAAAAACTTAATAATTAATTTTTATGCATTATATTTTTTATACCTTTGAAGTTTATGATAATTTCGTGTATTGTTACATTTATGTTGGTTCTGATGGAATATGTGTTGTATGATAATGATCCTTAAGATGATCATTCAAAACATAATCACTCCCACTCAAATTTAAATCTGAACACTGAATTTTGGCAGAGACCAGTTAACATCAACTGAAGTAAGACTTGAGGTTCTCACAGCGGTGAGCGCAACAACCCAGAAGACGGAAATCTTCAAATCAACTGAAGTGTTTAATGTTTCCTTTAGTCTCACCCAGTTGAGTTTTTAGATGAGAACTCTGAAACACCACAACCAGATGACAGCTGTATTCAGGCTCACTGCTGTGAAAACCTTAAATCCTACATACCACAACCAATTCCACATATTTTCCAGATCATCGTTCGTAACCACCTTGAAATGTCATTTGAGGCTGACTGCATTTTACATGGAATTCTTTAGACCCCAAAAAGTACTGACAGAAGCCTAAATGAGAAATAAAACTGCAGATAAAAATAAAGTAAAATGTATTTTTTTGCACAGAGCAGAATCTAAAGTATACTTAGGCTTACTTATATGTTTGTTCCTATTCCACTGTCTCCAGATATCGGAAGTAAAGCAAGAACTGAATTCTTACAGTAGGTTGATATTTATTTGCAGTATCCTTGTGTGGATTGTACCTTGTAAATCAATATGTGGCAGTATTATGAACAAACTGTGTTGTGGAGGGGACTGGTTTTGTGTGAAAAAACTTAATGAAGTGAACAGGTGGCATAAAATAGGTAACATAGAGGTTAGCTGAGTTTCACGTGGGTTGTCACCACCACTGCTTGTGGTGGTTATTAACTTGATATGAAAATCAAACTTGTTTAAATTTTTGCCTTTGTTTATAAATTTTGGACTATATTACCTGGATTAAAATTTTAGTCAGTATGCCTGACCTGGCCTTGTCATGTTGCATTCAGAACATTTGAGTGAAATTTAAGTGTAGTGTGAAAGGACAACTCCAGACCATAATTAATGGTGCTTATGTTTTTAATGTTATATAGTGTTTTACTCTAGAAATTGTCACTGGTCATTTTCAACGCCCGGCACCATGAATTATTATTATTATTATTACCTTGCAAATTAATTTTAAAATTGTTATGCGACAGTATCGGATAAAGATAAGTTTTCTGTAATACATTGAAGGATGATGTAAGAAAATTGGTTTGACCATGTGACGTGCATCATTTTAGGTTAGGTTTGTTATGATGTAGTTTGTGTGAAAGAAAATTGTAAAATTTTTGTGTTCTATCGACATCGATCACTTTTCCGTTCATTTGATATCAGTTATATACCAATTAAACCAGATGTCTCCCGTAACTTTAGGTTATTATAGGTTTCGTTCACATAAGTGTTCTTTCAATTACCTATTATTTCATGACGTCGTATCGCGTATTGTATGAGAAATTCTCACCCTGATGTTCTTGTCACGGATTACTCTGAGACAATCTCTCTGAAAAGAGCATCGGTTCATCGCGATTCCTTCTATATATTAATCATTGAATAAAAGACAGTAACGCTGATGTGTCTGTAGAATGAAACTAACCATTCTGTTTTTCGTATGAAGTGACACGAAAGAATGATCACATACGTGTTCGTTGAACTGGGAGAGGTGATCAAAATACAGGTACGTGTTTTTATGCTGAAACTAAGTGTAACGTTTGGTTTCATGCTTATGCGTTTTGTTGATGTAGCTGTTGTAGTGTTTGCATTTGTTCCGAGTGTGCTATGTGAAAACTGAAGTAGACGATGTGACGGTATGAGGCTACTAGAGATATAGCATTGAACGAATTCTTACATGGTTTGGAGATTATTTATTTTGGTACAATTTGATTACAGTGTTGGTTATCAGCTGCATTCAACGGACTCTGTAATTTGGCGGACAAAAGGTGACTGAAATTTTTGCCACTCCTTACATAATTATTGGGGAGAGAGGGGTTATGATACGCACGCCCATTTTGAAACCACAAGAAGTTGCAAACAGCTCTAGATTGCACTGCAATCTAGCGGAGGTTTCCAAAATTTAGTACCAATTGTGGGTTAGACTTCTGAGAAGCTGTGCTTCTTCAGTGCCCATTTGTTTTGCTGATGTTTTTATTATACCTAAAAATTTTAAAAAAATCTCCGGTAAATCAGCCGCCGTTCTAAAAATCAGTTGCATGTAGCTTTAGCGTGTTATTTTGGAGAATAATTCATCCTTGGTTTAAGTTTTTAATTTCTATACACATGGGGAGTTTGGTTTACCGTAATGGCGTCAAGACGGGCAGTAGTACAAAGTGCTTTCCATTTGCCCATCGCGATAAATTCTAAGTGATTTTTGTGCATAAATGGCTGTCTTCTGGGTTGTAGGGCCGTGTAGTCTGGAAGAATTTTTGCCATCATTTCAGAAATCCTTGCTGTCTTGATCATCATGGCGATCGCACTTAAGTATGTTTTGTAGGTTTAATCCACAGCAGCGGTTTTAGGACGCCATTGGATTCGATTTCTTTGGAACAAAATTTTGTGGCTTAAGGGTGGGGTCTGGTTGTCTACCCATGACCTTGGAGTGTCGCCTGCTCCACTTTCAGGTCGTAACTTGTTTACGTTGAACTTAGTGGTTATTCCAGCGTGCCAAGAACAACGAAAACGACAGCGTATTGAGTGATTTTCATTTCGGGCATAGGGTGTATGTGAGTTAAGTAAGTTATTATCTATATGAATATTATATTTTGTATAATTTTAAAGAAATGTAAAGGCGGTTATTTTTTAACAGAACTTAAAATTATGTGGTGCACAGTTGTGAAGAAGCAGATAGTTTCATTCTTTTATCTTCCTGTCTGAAGTCTATAAAACTGAAACAATATAGCCGATATATTCGCTTTGTACGGGTGTGAAATTCAGTCTTTCACTGTTGAATGTGTCTGAGAACAGATTTTACGAAGAATATTTGACCTAAGAGAGAGGACGTTATAGGAGGAAAATGATGCTCTTCATATTACCTATATACGTAGCTCTGAACAGCAGGATAATTAGTGAATAGACCTAATGAATTGGAAAGGATATCGAAGGATGCGGTCGTGGCCTAAGTCAAGATACTGTACCGGAATTTGCTGTTTATGGTACTTCTTCTTTTTTCTCTCAAGGACTTTAGTCCGCTGTGGACGTTGACTTCCAGTACAGTTTCCCCTATATTCTTAGTGGTTCTTAGTCACTGTTGGCAAGTTTCTTATTCCCATAATCTTAAATCTTTGCCCGAGTCGTAATTCTAAACGTCCATCCGGTTGGGATTTCAGTTGTACTATCTTCTCAACAAATTTTGTTTTTATGGGATTGGGTTCTCAACCCAGTGTCCAACCCCCAACCTGGAGGACCACTGTGTCTTTTAGTCTGGAACCTCACTCTTGACCTGTCCGGCTTCGGATACCCTACAAGTAGCTACGCTATCGCCAGCATAGCTCTTTAGATCATTGGAATTCGCAAACCCCACCGCCACGACAGGAATTTAAGGTACTACATCCTTATTTGTTTGGAGGAACTGAGGAAACTCGCGAATACCTCTGTTAGGATCTCCAGGCCGAGAAATGAACACAGAACCTCCCGAATACAAAGCAGTAGTTCTAACCATTAAAATTCTCTTGGGCTATCAGCCGTGTCAAACGGTTAAAAACTCGCCGACGTTTCCGAGACTTTGTCCCCATCATCCCATTTGTCTGATGTGACTGTAGGGGAGAAAAAAAACGAGGACTTGCGCATGCGCAAGACGTCGTCTATTGTTATAAACAATTCATGTGTACGAAATGCATTACTGGCCTGCCAATCACCAGTCAGTTTTGTACTGTTCATATTCCAATTGTCTGCTAATACTGCGATTCCATTTCAAGTCTCTACTTTCCTTGAAATTTGCCTTTCGAGAACGAGTATGGATTTCTGTGTTTATTTCCTGCATGCTACGTGCAGCCTTCCACTGTCATATCCTCCTTAGTTTATCATACTAATACCAGGCAAACGGTAGAATTGTTAAGTTTGCGGCTATTATCATTTTCCTGGGGGTAAAGCCGGCCGGGGCGTGATGCTGACCACTCATCCCATCTAGTGCCGAGGTCAAGAATGAGTAGGAGCTATATCTCCACTCCCCCCAAGCGCCTACATGGCGTATAGTGGGACAGCTTTTTTACTTTACTTTAAGCCTGTTTTGAATACTTTGCTGTCGAAGTGATATCATCATTGGCCTTTCAACTAAACAAGTCAGTTATTGCCAGAAGGTGTGCCCCACGGGATGCAGACCCCGGAGGGAAAGGTCGCCTTTCACTACTTCTGATTTACTCTAGGTCTACAGGATCTATCATAAATTTACAACCTTGGGACATCTCACCACCTACGGAAATTGTTTACCTGCAGTTTGATGGGCAGTCCCTGAGCGGATTTTGCGCAAAAATGACCTCGTTCTTTGTAATGAGTGCATGAAATGAACTCATAATATGGAATTACTGAATAATTTTGTTTAAATTTTTGATGTACACTAAAAGTTATAAGACATTAATTTGGTCTGTGTTAGCGAATGTAGCCATTTCTTTACATTGCAAGTATCGAATTTTATTGTCTTTCTCAGAACGGCTCGACATATGAACAAATTGTTAAATGTAATAAGTTAATGTTAAGTGTAATAAGATATATAGTAGATGTCATGATTTCATAATTTTTTTAAAAAAACTTTTTCGATATAATAAGTATTTACAACGAGTAGTTTTGTATATAAACTTAGCGGATTAGACAATAGACGTTTGTTTTTCTTTGTATTATTGTAGAAAATACGTAGTTACAGTAAGTAATGCTTTGATAAAGATGTAAGTTACTGTAAAAAGTCAGTGGTAATAGCTACTAAGTTTCATTGAGAAGATAGTGAAAGTTAATGTGATTAAATGTAGACCGTATTTTTATGTCTGCCCTTTCATTCAGTACATAAATATTACGTTGTTTGTTATACGACTCAAGAGGTAAATAAAAAACACCGTTGAAGTAAATTAGTTCTGTAGCTGACTCTTTATCTCCGTATATTTTTTAAATCAGTGAAAATATTTACTTCATGATACCATCCTACTACAAGATTTGCATCAACGATAAATAAACAAAAGAACAGCGCGGTTTGCTAAGTCACAGATACACTTGTAAAACACTGACAGAGACTAGCTCTTTCTAAGGGACCCAACAGAGTAGGTACCTCTCACCTTAAGACGGAGACAGATCCAGCCTCCGAAACGTCGTGAATTACGAAAGCAGACGATGGAAAAAGTCCTGACAACAAATAATTTTAAGTGTAAACTACCGTCGTCAAAACCCTTTAGAATTGAATTACTGATATTGTCATGATGCACTGCAATAATCCGATCCTGAAGAAGTGACCTAATAACGATGTTGTTCTGGGCGGTGTCGCCTTGTAGATTTGTAGGTAGATAACGTTTTGGAGAAACATACTTTAGGGCTGATTATACTTTAGCTCTGAAGACGGATACGTGTTTCTCCGGAACGTTGGTGTCTAATTACTAATCTGCACGGAAATCGTCGTCCTCACTGCCGTGAGAACTTCAGATGATACAAGTAAGTTCATTTCTGCA